GAATTGAAAATATTCCTCCCATGTCTCTGGAAAAAATTCTGGGCCCAACCGCTTCCTGTTTTTAGACGAGCTCATGCTCTGACATCTCCGGTTTTACAAGAAGGAAGAGAAAAAGTTGTTTTCAGAGTGCTCTTGCGTTTGAGCTCTGTGTCACTGTAAGCGTTCATGTACAGTATTTTGGGTATAATGAAGGAGTGTTTAGGAAAGGTCGTCACACTTCACAATGACTGAGAGATTTTAAGAAGAAAGAAAACATCAAGAGCGAATCATGTGAACTGTTCAAAGGGGCTATTATAAGCAACATGACCACTGTACTGCAGAAGTCTCTTCTGCTCACCAAGACCACATTTACTAAAATACAGCAAAAATAGTGAAATATTATTACAGTTTAAAACAGCTGTTTTCTATGTGAATCTCTGTTAAACTGTCATTTATTTCTGTGATGCGCAGCTGTATTTTCAGCATCATTACTCCAGTCTTCAGTGTCACATGATCTTCAGAAATCAGTATAATATGCTGATTTGCTGCTCAAGAAACATTTCTGATTATTATCAATGTTGAAAACAGTCGTGCTGCACAATATTTTTGTGGAAACCGTGATACATTTAATTTTCCAGGATTCTTTGATGAACAGAAAGTTCAAAAGGACAGCATTTATTAGAAACATAAATCTTTTGTAACATCAATAAATAAAAGTATAATTTCTAAATAGTACTGCCAGATTTAAAAGTGTATATTTATACTGTATTATTCTCAATAGACACCAGCGGTTTTAATGTGACAATTTATGATTTAGATAAAAATAATTTGATACAAAATTTATATTATATACATATTATGTGTAATATGACCATGTGAGAATTCTTTTTTTTTTTTTAGTTATAAGAATTAATTTGTCCTCAGTGAATTATTTGGCATCTGAATTTCTAAGTTTTATCCATGCAAACATTCATTACAGACACCCTGCTGAGAAATAATGACCAAACCGGGCTTCAGAAGCTAAATCTTATTTCTGCCTGCCTTCGAATAAACGTCTAGTCCTCGTGTCAGAACTCTAGAGCCTCGAATGTGTCAAGGCTGTTGTTCTCAGTGGTGCTTTGATTTCTCTCACGCTCAGCAGACGGCAGGCAATATGCTGATTTCAGAGGATGAGGGAAAAAATAGTCCAACGTAAAGTCGGAGGCGTTGCAAATGTGTCTGCGAGCAGCTCTCGGAAAAACCCTGCCAACATGACTCTGAGACACAAGACTGATCTACACTCTAAGAACAACCTCAACCTCCATCATGAACACAGAGCCGCGGAGAGAATGAATCACGTCCACTCGCTGTCATCTTTATTTTTAAGAGTAAAAAAAGTGACAGATGGGAAAGGAAACGCTGAACGATGACATCACAGCACTGTTTACATGAATGGAGCTGGCTTCAACACTTCATCAGAACGGGCGAACTCAAGAGAGATCAGGACAGGGAGCATAAAAAGACACATTTGAAGGTTCTGGTGAAAATACGCAAAAGCAAAACTGAATGTTCTTCAGCAATATAAGAAGGTGTGATTTCTCTAAGGCCACTGTGGGTGCTTATATGAAGCATTATAGACAAATCAAATCAGCTCATTTACATTTTAATTCCCCCCAAAAATCATATAATAAGCTTACTTCAGGCCGGCCTCGCTTCAGTAAGAACGCTGCGGACTGATGTGTGTGTGGCTTTTCTGAACCTCACAGAGTGAGTGAGTGTGTGTGTGTGTGTGTGTGTGTGTGTGT